TTGTGGCAGGCACCTGTGGTCCCAGCTACTTGGGAGGTGGAGGCAGGAGACTCACTTGAGCCCAGGAGTTGGAGGTTGCTGTGAACTGTGATGCCACGGCACTCTACCCAGGGGAACAGCTTGAGGCTCTGTCTCAAAAAAAAAAGAAAAACAAACAAACAACAACAAAAAAACTTCTGTGGTCAAGCATTCTTCCTGCCTCAGCTTCCCAAGTAGCTAGACTACAGGCACACACTGAGAAGCCCAGACAATTTTCTATTTTTTTAGTAAAGATGGAGTTTCACTCTTAACTCAGGCTGGTCTTAAACTCTGAGCTCAAACAATCCTCCCTCCTTGGCCTCTCAGAGTGCTAGGTTTAGAGGTTTGAGCCATTGAACTCAGCCAGTTCTATGAGTTTTGACAAATGCACAGAGCTCCATATCTACCAACAAACACATCAAGATAGAAAACATTCCCATCACCCCCTTGTGCTATTCCTTTGTACTCAACCCCACTCCATCTGCTGGGAACCTCGGATCTGTTCTCAGCCCCTATGGTATTGCCTTTCTCTGCGTGTCACGTACATAAAGCCATGTAGTAGATGCAGCTTTTGAGTCTAAGCTTCTTTCATGGAACATACTGCATTTGAGATTCATCTGAGTTATTGCATACACCAGTAGTTTGTTACTTCATATTACTGAATAGTATTCCATTGTAGAGACGTACTATAATTTGTTTATCCTCTCACTGGCTGAAAGTCAAAACCTGTCCCCAGGTTTTGGTGACTGTGAGTAAGGTTTCTTTATAAACATTTACATAATTTCGTGTGAACAAAGTTAAGTATAAACTTAAGTTTTCACTTCTCTTATATAAATTTCTAGGATTATGATTTCTGGGTCAAATGGTAAATCTTTGCTAAAACTGTTTTCCAACATGGTACACCATTTTACATTCCTATCAGCAATGTATAAGGATTACAGTTGTTCCATATCCTTGCCAGTACTTGGCATGATCAGTCATTTCAGTTGTTCAGAGAGGCATGTAATAGTGTGTCACTGTGATTTTAATATCCTACTTCCCTAATGACCAGATGTTAAGCATCTTTTTATGTGCTTATCTGCCTTTTATATATGATGTTTGGTGAAGTGTCTGAGTCTTTTGTTCATTTTCTCATTGGGTTGTTTATTTTTTGGCTCTTGAGTTTTGAGAGTTCTCTATATTCTGGATATAAGTCCTTTGCCAGATGTGTGATCTGCAAGTGCTTTCACCCAGGCTGTAGCTTATATTTTTAAAGATTTCATAAGGCATTTATAAATTTTTTTTATTATAAAAGATTCAGATGATACAACATTATTTAAAGTAAAAAGTATAAGTTCTTTATTACTTCCTGCCTCCTTCTCCAGCTTTCTTTTTGGAGATAGCTGCTGTTGACAGTTTTATAAGAATCTTTCCAGTTCTTTTTATATCCCAATTTTCCATTAAGTTTGTGTTTTACTTATTAGAAATACTTAACAAAAGGACTCTTAACAAGAAGGGACACTTAACAAGATAGGTCTTTTATTTTAGTCAATAAGTTGCATTTCAAAGAATCTCCGTTTTTCCTTTTAGCCTACTAATAGGTAAAAATTGTTCTTTTTCTGTTAAAGTAGTGAGTTTTGGACTTAGTCCAGAAAGTCATGATTTGGAGAAGAAAATTCTAGAAGATAAGGATGGCTGATGAGTGGACTTAATTTAAATAGGTCGTTTTATATTTGCTAAAGATTGCTCTAGGAAAGAGAGGATGGGTAAATTCATACCTGTTGGGTATGGTGTATACTTTCTGGGTGAAGGGCATACTTATAACCTTTACTCAATTTGTGCAGAAAACAAAGTATATATATAAATAAAGCATGTGTACCCCCTAATATCCTGGGAGGGGGAAATTTCTGTAATTAGTTGAAATGACTTCAAGATCTCTATTTTCTTTCTTCTTTTTTTTTGAGACAGGGTCTTACTTTGCTGTCCTCGGTAAAGTGCTGTGGCATCACAGCTCACGGCAACCTCAAACTCTTGGGCTCAAGCAATTCTCTTGCCTCATCCTCCTAAGTAGCTGGGACTACAGGTGCCTGCCACAACACCTGTCTATTTTTAGAGATGGGGTCTCGTTCTTGCTCAGGCTGGTCTGAAATCTGTGAGCTCAGGCAGTCCACCTGCCTTGGCCTCCGAGAGTGCTGGGATTTACAGGTGTGAGCCACTGTGCCCAGCCTAAGTAAGATGTCTATATTTTCTTAAAATAAGTGATGAGTTAGTTGGGTGGGGGGAGGTTTATTTTGACAAAGAATGATATTAGTAACATTGTATTAAAGTTCTGCTTACTTCCAAGTTCTGTTGTTCTTTCTTTTTCTTTTGAAATAAGAGTCTCATTCTATTGCCCAAGTTAGAGTGCAGTAGTAGCATCATTATACCTCATTGAAGCCTCCAACTCCTTGGGCTCAAGTGATCCTTCTGCCTCCGCTTCATGAGTAGCTGGGACTACAGGCACATACCACCATGCCTTGCTAATTTAAAAGAAATTTTTTTGGCCAGGCGCGGTGGCTCACGCTTGTAATCCTAGCACTCTTGGAGGCTGAGGTGGGTGGATTGCTTGAGCTCATGGGTTCAAGACCAGCCTGAGCAAAGGCAAGATCCCCATCTCTACTAAAAATAGAAATACTGAGGCAAGAGGATCGCTTGAGCCCAAGAAAAGCCATTGCACTCTACCCAGGGCCACAGCTTGAGACTCTGTCTCAAAAAAATTTAAAAAAAAATTTTTGGTAGATACAGGGTCTCACTATTACCCAGGCTGATCTTAAACTTCTGCCCTGAAGAAATCCTCCCACCTTGGTCTCCCAAAGTACTAGGATTCAGGCGTGAGTCACTGTGCCTAAGCTCACTTCTAAATTTTAGATTGATCATTTTTCTTTGATTGATTATTCTGTGCTATGGGACATACTCAGCACAGAATTTACATTTGGCTCACATTTTTAGTTTTAGCTATGATTTTGGCCTTTCTTAACCATAATTGGTCAGAATTTTTTTGCAGAATAAGCCTTATTAAGAAAAGCTATTTTTGTCTTTCCATAGGTATGAATCCTAGGACCCAGAATAAGGATTCTCTAGAGGACAATGTTTCTACCTCTCCAGAACCAAGTAAGAGGAGTCAGTTGACTAGGGAAGTGGGAGTGGGCAGAGGGGGTGGGAAGTGATCAGAGTCTGAGGAAGCAAGAGGAAGCCTTGTGGGAAGAGAATGGTCTGGAAGTCTACACATTTCTGGGGTATGGGAAGGTGATGTGGTGAAAGAGGACACTTTGGACTCTGATGGGAAGTGGGGGAAGGGGGTGATGCTGAATGAAATGTGATTCAGAAATGCATGGGAAGGGTGACACATTTCCCTCAATGTTCTTATACCACTAGAGAGCTGGCTTAGTCTTTAAATGCTTTATAGTATCTCTGGGGAAAAAGTTGGAAAGAAGTGATAGGCCATTACTGGAACCCTCTACACTCCTGTAATTGAAAACATTTGGCTCATTTATGTTCATTTTGATCATCCTTGTCTATTTGAGTAGCTGTGCTGTAAGAGAACATCTAAATATCTATAGTACCAAAATAGCAGAAAAAATCCTATCACCTAATAAACTTTGTATTTTACATAGCTGTGACTAGTGGATAAGTATTGCTGAGTCTTTTTGTCCCCACTTAAGATTAACAAATAATCCTTTCTGTTTCTTCAGGTCTCTCTTTTGTCATTTCTTTTTTTTGAGACAGAGTCTCACTTTGTCACCCCAGTAGAGTGCTGTGGCATCATAGCTCACAGCACCTCAAACTCTTGGGCTCAAGCTATTCTCTTGCCTCAGCTTCCCAAGTAGCTGGGACTATAGACGCCTACCTCAATGCCTGGCTATTTTTAGAGACAGGGTTTTACTCTTGCTCAAGCTGGTCTTAAACTCCTGAGTTCAAGCAATCCATCTGCCTCGGCCTCCCAAAGTGCTGGGATTACAGGTGTGAGCCACCAAGCCTGGCATCCTTTTAGTTATTTGTAATGGTGATATATACCAGCACATTACTATATCCTGGTTTCAATAGTCCTTTCTTACTGGTGACCATTTGGATGGTTTCCCATTTTTTAGTGATAGCATATAATGCAGGTGTAATACGTGGCACACTGGGTGCATTGTTTTTTCCTTTTTCTTTTAGTTCATGTCCTTGGATTATAGGCCCCAAAGTATGATTGGCAGATTATTTTCCAGAAAGCAATGAATAGATGAGCCTATTTCTCTACAACCCCTCTAGTGGATTTTGTTACCCGTGTTCATCATTGTTATTCTAGTGGTTCTGAAGTGGAACTTCCCGAAGGGCCTACTTTTCAGAACCAGAAGATACCAAAGTTAGAAAAGAGGCTGAGTTCTTTTCCCAAAGATAGAACATCATTAAACTTAGAATCAGGAACCTTTCTCATCATGGGATTTTGGACTAAGGATTTGAATCCTGGTTTTTGGTGTATGCCCAGTAGTGAACATTTCTACGTGGTTTTTATAATCCCAAGGGTAAGTAAGATGATGAGGGCCAGAATGATCTTAAGAGAGCACACGATAATTTAGCTGTTTTCTGCATCTGGGGTTATGATCAGGTATCTACTTTGTGTTCCTAATTCTAGGCAGGAAATAAGAGCAAGCTCACCTTCTTGTCTGCCATATAGGAAGATTGAGGTGATTAGGCCATTCTGGGCTATGTTTAGAATTCCTGAAGTATTAATGAGTTAACAAGACCTGTATAGGCTATGGAGTTAAGCCCATTTCAGGTTAAATCATCTTCACCAAGTCAGTAGTGTTGCATGACACGTCTTCCTACTGTGACTTATGACCCAAGTTTTCTTCTTTGATGTGAGGGCGATGTGAGGGGTACTGAGGCAACAGGGGCTACAGCACATTGTAGGCCATTTACCTATACGAGTATCCTGCTCAGGGCTCAGAGACAAAAAGGCATAGAATTTTTGGCTTTATTTATTCCCTCTTAGAGATTTAAAAGATAATCTTCACTTAAATTAGTTAAACAGATAACTGCCCTATTACTTTAACTCAATAATTATCAACTGGAGAGGATTTTGCCCCCCAGGGGACATGTGTCAATATCAGCAGACTTTTCTGGTCTTCTCAACTAGGGGATGCCACTAGCATCTAGTGAGTAGAATCCAGTGAGCAATGCTGCTCAGCATCTTACAGGGCCCAGGACAGCATTCCTGATTCTCCAGCAAAGACTGACTTAGCTCAGAATGCCCATAGTTGCTAAGGTTGAGAAACTCTGCTTTAAGTGAAGGGCAGGCAGTTCCAGACAGACCTGTGTGGTCAGGCCCACTCTGCTGATTGCAGCTTTCATTTCTGGATTATTGAACTCTGTCTCTTGAAGTTCTGGCCTTGTAACATTCCCAGGCATCTGCCCTAGACTTTTTCTCCTACTTTTTAGATCTGTTACTTTGGTGATTCTGGAAGTCTTCCTTATTTCTGCTACTGTGTGCTGTTTGCTCCCAAATCAGGCTGAGCTCTGCTCCTTTCCCCACCCAGCCACTCTGCAGTCCTTAGGAGAGTCCCAGGCTTGAGCCTTTCATCTGCTCTTGGAATGTTGATTTGCTTCCACAATGTGTAACTCTGCCTGCCCTGCAGCAACCTCACCCGCATTGCAGCTGTAGCTCACAATCAGCAGAAAATGAAACATACCAGCTGTGAATTCCATTTGCATGATGGGATTGGATAAGCATGTGCACTGCATTGTCTAACAAATTCTGTTTCTTTCTTTCTCTTTTTCCCCTACCCCCTTTCCTCTTCTCCCTCCCTATCCTGACAATTTTATCACCCTTTACCATGGACTTCTCCCCACTTCTTTCCCTTTCCTCTCCTTGCCCCATGTCCCAAACCTGCCATGGTGACCACACGTACCTTTTCCCCTGTTACACGAGGCAGTTCTGACACTGTCTGCTCCCCCTGTAGTGCCAGGCTTCTGTTGCACAGTTGGAGTGGACTGGAAGTCTCTCACTACTCCGGCGTGCCTCCCCCTCACCACCGACTACTTCCCTGACCGCCAGGGCCTCCAGAACGACTACACAGAGGGCTGTTATGATCTCCTCCCGGAAGCAGATATGGACAGGTCAGTCTCAGAGAAAAAGACACTCACCTTGATTTGTGAAGGTTCTGGGTATATCCCGACATACACATTGGAACACTGAATTTGCAAACCTGCGTCCTTTTATAATTGGGAGATGTTATGATGCAAGAACTATTCATTTCCTTGGAGTTGTGTTGACATTAAAAATTTCTACTCATTGATGGTTCTCATATCTTCTAATGCAGTTATTTCAGTCATATTAAATTTGATCTCCTTTTTTGAGATGATCTATTTTACTCATTTGAGCATTTACCTGCCTTTTTTCCTACCTCTTTGTGCTGATCACTTCTCCCCCAAACAGCTTACAAATTGTGAGTTTTATGAACTGCCCTGGAATGGTTATCAGGGATAAAGCCAAGAAGAGGATGGGACAGTGTACTCTTAAGTGTCACTGCGCAAGGCCAGGCATCCATCTGAGCAATCATCTGTTTTTTAGGAGGGACGAGGAGGGTGTACAGATGACGGCCCAGCAGGTGTTTGAAGAATTCATTTGCCAGCGTCTCATGCAGGGGTATCAAATCATAGTGCAGCCCAAGGCACAGAAACCCAACTCCACTGTCCCACCTCCGCTGAGCAGTAGCCCACTCTATAGCCGAGGTGAGTTTTTCTCCTTGGACTTACATTTTTTCTTTTCTTGTAAATTTGTGGGAATAGGTTTTCAAGGGAGTAGATGAATTTAGGAGTAATTGTTTCAACATAAAATTTTTCCTTCCAAATATTATTTTACATGAGGAATGACGTCTCCATGTGGCATAGATTATCTTGAACACTCTCTTTAATTTATAACTCTTCTTGTATTTTTTTTGAGACAAAGTCTCACCTGGTCACCCTTGGTAGAGTACTGTGGCATCATAGTTCATAGCAACCTCAAACTCTTGGGCTCAAGCTGTTCTCTTGCCTCAGCTTTCCAAGTAGCTGGAACTACAGGTGGCCACCACATTGCCTGGCTATTTTCAGAGACGGCATCTTACTCTTGCTCAGGCTGGTCTCAAACTTGTGAGCTCAGGCAATCCACCCGCCTTGGCCTCCCAGAATGCTAGGATTATAGGCGTGAGCCACAGCACCCAGCCTACAATTCTCCTTTTAAGGAAGAAGATATGACCAAATTCAGGGATGGTACAGCTTGGCTTGAACAACACTTAGGAGCAGCAGTGAGCTGAGTAAAAACTGAACTAAGTATATAGTGAATATTTTAAACCTAGAAAGCTGTATTTAATTATTAATAATACTATCTCTTGCATATGGCAGGTTCTTAGATATTGCTTAAACCTGAAGTTTACACTTGTTCTTTTTTTTCTGTTCTGGATTTATCTTTCTCTTGTTGGTCACTGAAGCTTAGTGACTTGAAGCAAGAATGGGTCATCGTGAGTGGCAGAGGATAATAAGTGACAGTATTGGTAATGCTAATTGAATTATAGCCAGCTGCTGGAGCATTCTTTAAAAATAAGTCTAACACAGAGAATTAAGTGTGTGGGTGCCTGGAATTAGAAAGCAGTACTCACTTCTGGAACAATTAATGAGCTTTCTTTAGTCTTTTGGTTTCTCATTACTGCTAACAAGACCCCCACATTCCCTTAATCACCTGACTAAATCTCAGATAGCATCTTTGGCTCCATGAAAGCTCCTCTGGTCAGAGAATCAGATAAGTGTGGACCTGTTAGGGGGAGCTTAGTGGTCATCCAGGTCAGGTCCTTTTGTTTACAGATAAAGCTTTGGACTCCTTCCTGGTTGTTTTTGAAAGCACCTTGTGACTTTTTTTTTTTTTTTTTTGCAGTTTTTGGCCGGGGCTGGGTTTAAACCCACCACCTTTGGCATATGGGGCCAGTGCCCTACTCCTTTGAGCCACAGGTGCTGCCCCTGTACCTTGTGACTTTTTTTTTTTTTTGGCCGGGGCTGGGTTTTGAACTTGCCACCTCCAACATATGGGATCGGCATCCTACCCTTTTGAGCCACAGGTGCCACCTACCTTGTGACTTTTAATGCACATTGCTTTCTATTCATACTCTGGACCCTACTGAATATTAACCTTTTCAAGCCCCCATACTACTTCCAGTTCATCTTTATATCCTTTCTAGTGGAAATCACAGTGCCTGGCTGACTGTGGTCACCTGATCCACCTGATCCAACTATATAGATCAGGTCAATAAAGGGATGAATTCAGGCCAGGCATGGTGGCTCATGTGTATAATTTCAGCACTCTGGGAGGCCGAGGTGGGTGGATTGCTTGAGCTCAGGAGTCAGAGACCAGCCTGAGCAAGAGTGAGACCCACCTCCCCACCCCCCACCCCCGTCTCTATTAAAAATAGAAAAAAAACTAAGCAGGCATTGTGGCTGGTCCCTGTGGTCCCAGCTACTGGGAAGGCTGAAACAAGAGGATTGTTTGAGGTTGCTGTGAGCTATGACACCATGACACTCAACCCCAGGGTGACTGAGACTCTTGTCTAAAAAAAATAAAAAGTAATCAAATTCATTCGTTCACTCATTTATTCAACATTGTCTTTGAAGCTTCTGCTGTGGGCAGGGATTTATAGCCCAGAGGGGAAAACTAACATTAGTCAAACTATGAAATATAATTACATGTTGTGATACAGACTGTGAGGGAAAAGTCAAGGACTGTGAGAATATTTAATACATGGCCTGATTTGGTCTAGAGGATTAGAGACAGCTTCCTGAAGGAGATGATGTTTGAGCTTAGACTGGAAGTACTTATAGGTTGAGAGTGGGGAGTGGGAATAGAAAGGAAGAGCTTGCAAGGCTGAGGAATTGGTTTGTGCAAAGGCCCTGTGGCAGGAGGCATTTTGACATTTTCTAGGCACCAAAGAGAAAACTGATGTGATGGAGCGCAAGGAGTGAGCCAGAGATGTGCCTCCAGATTTCAGGGGACATAGGCCTCACAGGACAATATGCAGGATTTTGTTATTTATCCCAAGAATAGTGGAATGAATTCTTATTTAGTGTCACTGGTCCTATCCAGGTGGCCCACTTGCTTTTCTCTGGCTGATTTGTGAGCTTAATGTCATGGCTAGCTGACCAGAGGCTACTTGCCTATTATTTTTCTCCTTTGATAAATTTACTCTCTGTTATTTCTGTAGTAACTGAAATGGGGCCATTGTTGTTATAATTACTGGAAAAGTTGCATCATAACCAAGCCTGTGCTATTCACTCTTCACAGATGTATTAAATACTGAATGTGAGCAGGCCCTGTTCCAGTAGGGAATAGAACAGCATTACCCCTACCCTTGGAGTTTGTAGTCTACTGTGTGAGATGGATGTTAAACTAATAAACCGCAAGTATATATTTGATCATAGATTATGAAGAATACTGTGCAGGATAAAAACAGGAATAACTAGGGTACAACACATTTGAGGGCATACTTTCTTTCTACTTGCAGAAAGTGAGACTCAGAAAGATTTGGTGTCCAAAATCACACAGCTGGCAAACAAAAGAGCTAAGGATTAACTTAGTCCCCTGATCAAGGGCCAACCTCTTACTTATACGTATCTGACTTGCTACCCCCTTGGCATCATCTGGGAAATTTCCATATTCACAGTAAAGATTCTTCTAGCCTCTATTTGTCCTCTCTCCTCCTGACCACTCCCATGCCGCCTGCCTCTGTGCTAGTGTCTCTTAGGACTGCATTTCATTTCTAAATCAAGGGGATTTTGGCTTGGCTCAGTTCTTCAAGGCATAATTGTTACTCTCTTGAATACTTGTCATTTTCTTGATTCCTCATTATTTTCCTCTTTCCTGTGTTCAATTCCATTCAACTAATATTGTTTAAATATCTGAAGCTGAGCACAGTGGCTCAGGCCAGTACTCTCAGCAACTCAGGAGGTAGGAGGATCACTTGAGGCCAGGAGTTCAAGACCAGCCTGGGAAACATAATGAGATTATGTTTCTAAAAAAATTTTAAAAATTAGCTGGGCATAGTGGCATATGCCTATAGTCCCAGCTACGTGGAAGGCTGAGACAGAAGCATTGTTTAAGCCTAGAAGTTCAAGGCTGCAGTGAGTTATGTTGATGCCACTGCACTCTAGCCTAGAGTGACTTGGTGAGGCCCTGTCTCAAAAAATATTTTTAAAAAGATGAACAACTAAACAACACTTGGGTCTTGGCTTCCTGGAACTTTCAGTTTATAAGGATGTAAGAGACACACATATATGTACAAGGTAGAATTCAGACTGCTGGTACGGTTTAACAGTTTTCTGGAGAAAGTAGCTTGGTGGTGACTTTAAGTGATCAATAGGATTTCAAGGATGAGAAGGCAGTGGAAGCAACCCAAGAAAATGTTTAGAGGAAGGAAATGGCAGCAAATATATAGCAGTGTGGTTGTGATGGGAGTTAAGGCCAGAAAGCTAAGTTGGCTGCCACCCTGGGGTGAGGACCTCACATACCTTGGTGGGCATCTGTGCTTGGGTGGAGTGGAGTTCCATTTTCGTTTTACAGTCACCTCTTAGCCTACTAACATTTGAACATCAGGTTGTTCAGCTTTGAGACTATTATCTAGGTACTATCAGCACCCTCAGGCTTTTGCTGGTTGGTTTCATTACAGAAAAATAAGCCAACCTTAGGACTTTTTTTTTTAAACCAAGTATAGCTTTCTTTCATGAAACTGCCCTTTAAAAGAAAAATGTTGCCCCTTCTATTTCTCCTTTCCTCAATCTTTATGAATTTTCAGGAATTCTTAGATCTAAACAGGGATCTCATTGTTCACTTTTTTTTCTTTTTTATTTTTTTGAGATAGAGTCTAACTTTGTTGCCCTTGGTAGAATGCTGTGGCATCATAGCTCACAGCAACCGCAAACTCTTGGGCTCAAGTAATTCTCTTGCCTCAGCCTCCTGAGTAGCTAGGACTACAGGTGCCCACCACAACGCCTGGCTATTTTTAGAGGCAGGGACTCACTCTTGCTCAGGCTGGTCTTGAACTCATGAGCTCAGGCAATCCACCTGCCTCGGCTTCCCAGAGTGCTAGGATTACAAGTGTGAGGCACCACACTCTTGTTCTCTCTTCTTTATTCTCAAACATCCTTGGTGGGGGGGGGGCAGGTCATCCTTGTGGTGGGTGCACCACTGAACAACCTGTTTTAATATTGCTACACTAACATTTGGTAGAGGAGCAGGGTTGTCATCTCCTTCATCATCCATTCCCACATCTTCTACCATGGTCTTGATAGTCACAGACTATTTGACAATTTCCACATCAACTTCAAGTATCTCTGCATCAGAACTCTGCAACTTGATTGAAGTCATGGTGTTTAGTTTTAAAGAGCTAGGCAGCATCTACACAATAAGAGCAAAGTCAGATGACAAGGCCACTCTGAATCTGTGTGAATGAGAAGCAATTGCCTGTTCTAGGAATGAGCCTCAACCAGATGGAGGAAATTATTTTTTTTCTCTGTTAGGTCTTGTTTCCCGAAACCGCCCTGAGGAAGAGGACCAGTATTGGCTGAGTATGGGCAGAACTTTCCACAAAGTGACACTGAAGGATAAGATGATCACAGTGACACGGTACCTTCCCAAGTGAGTTCTGGGATGTTTAAAGTCTTCAGCTACTGTCCTGGACTATGTCAGCATACTGCAGTGTGGGTATGGTACATATTTTAAACCAGGGAAGTTGAGCAATTGTTTTTTCTCTTAGAGTTTTTGTTTTGTTTTCTGGAATTATTTTAGGGTTTTAGCTTACCTACTTCCAAAGGGGTTTCAATTCATCTTGTAATGATGAAGCATGACTAGAACAAGAATATGAGGAGATAAGAATATGACAATTAAGAATATAACAATAAGAATATAACAATTAAGAATAATTAATTATATATATAATATAATTAATATAACAATTAAGAATATGAGGAGATAATACAATATATTAATGTAACAATTGCTCTTATACCCCATGAATATACATAAATTTAAAAGAAAAAGGATCTGAGGAGAAAAGAATGCAAAAGTTTAAGAAAATCTGAGAAATTTCCATTACAGTTCCCTGGGATGAGTTGGTTACTACAGTTAAGGGTTGAATACCAAGAATGGTGCAAGGTATGTAGAGACAGAAAAAGTAAAGGAGGGTTGGACAAAATTCTCTTTTTGACCTTTTGGGCCTGCCTTTTATTTTCAGGTACCCTTATGAATCTGCCCAGATCCACTACACCTATAGCCTCTGCCCTTCCCACTCAGACTCAGAGTTTGTATCCTGTTGGGTGGAATTCTCCCACGAACGGCTGGAGGAGTACAAATGGAATTACTTAGATCAGTATATCTGTTCTGCAGGCTCCGAGGACTTCAGGTCAGAGAGTGGGCTTTGGCTTTCCATCCTTGTGACCTTGAGCATATGTATATTTTAACACTTTCTGTCCTTTTTTTCGGATGGCAAAATGATGTCTGTTTTGGGGGAAAAAATGGAAGAACAAAAGTACTTCTGCATTGGGTTAGAAACTCAGTCATGGGATGGATAGTGGAGATGTTCACACAACTGTGTGAATGTACTTAAATGCCACTGAATCATCCATTTAGAACTCGTTAAAGTCAGCCAGGCATGGTGGCTCACATCTGTAATCCTAGCAATCTGGGAGGCTGAGGTGGGTGGATCATTTGAGCTCAGGAGTTTGAGACCAGCAAAACCTCATCACTACTAAAAATAGAAAAACTAGCCATGCATTTTGGTGTGTGCCTGTAGTCCCAGCTACTTGGGAGGCTGAGGTAAAAGGATCACTTGAGCCCTAGAGTTTGAGGTTGCTGTGAGCTATGATGATGCCATGGCACTCTACTCTGGGTGATGGAGTGAGACTCTGTCTCTAAAAACGACAGCAAATGGCAGTGCCTGTGCTCAGTGGGTAGAGCTCCAGCCACATACAATGAGGCTGGCGGATTCAAACCCAGTCTGGGCCAGCTGAACAGCAATGACAACTGCAACAACAACAACAAAAATAAATAGCAGGCATTGTGGCGGGCACCTGTAGTCCCAGCTATTTGGGAGGCTGAGACAAGAGAATCGCTTAAGCCCAAAAGTTTGAGGTTGCTGTGATGCCACAGCACTCTACCAAGGGCAACACAGTGAGACTCTCAAAAAAAAAAACCTGGTTAAAGTAGATTTTCTTACATATATTTCACTGCAATTGAGGACAACAAAACAGCACTCCGTAATGATGGGCTACCTGATACACGTGTCAGTGCAGATCACGTTCTTAATGGTTTCCTTGCTCGTTGGCTGGTAGCTTTGTGGTATCTCATTTTCAAAGTTTGATTTTTATGTGTGATTTATGATTGTGGAGATAGAATACCACAACTTCATTGGCCTGAGTACACAGAAGCATTCTGACATCTCTGAGATTAAAGCAAAAGCCACCTTTGTGGTCTTCCTTCAGAAATTACCTTTTCAATAAAGCCATGAGCTGTAGTATCAGATGAATACATGCTCTTAGGGATATAGACCCTCATGGGAGTGTTCATTTGGTGTACTTCCCTCAGCTCCTGTTTCTCACCACCACCCTGTGTTTTCTGTGGTCTTCTGTAGCTTAATTGAGTCCCTGAAGTTCTGGAGGACCCGCTTTCTGCTGCTGCCAGCCTGTGTCACTGCCACCAAGCGCATCACAGAAGGGGAGGTACACTGCGACATCTATGGGGACAGACCTCGTGCTGATGAGGACGAGTGGCAACTTCTGGATGGTTTTATCCGCTTTGTGGAAGGCTTGAATCGGATCCGCAGGCGGCATCGGTCAGATCGCATGATGCGGGTGAGGGCCTCCTTCCCTCTCTGGAACACGGGCATGGTCTGGGATGCAGGATCAGCCTCCTTCTATCTCGGGGTCTTCAGCTAGTTTATTTATTCCACAACTTCCCAGTGTTTATCTTAAATCCAAAACATTATGTTCTTCTCCATTGCAGGATGACAGAGGGAGGGATTATTGCAGACAGCAACTGGGCAGTGTTCTCTGGCTTTGAGCCACCCCTCTCTGCCTGAGGACAGAGCCTTAATGAGCTGCTCCCCAAGTGAGACCCAGTCTCAAATGCAGCTGCTTGTGTGATTTGGTACTGAATTGCTAGACTCTCAGGAGTCCAACAGCAGCAATCCTTATTTACTCTTGTATCTTTTAGAGTTTCTAGCACCCTTTTGCCTCATTTCAATCACATGCTGCCCAGTGGGGAGACTGAGGTTCATTTGGGTGTCAGAATACGTCCCAGCTAATGATGAGCAGATCTGGGATTTAGCTTGGTTTTGTTTTGTTTTAATTAACGAATAGTGTAATTGACACTCGTGTAAGTGTATGTGTATATGTGTACAGGCCTATGAATTTTTTTTTTTTGAGACAGAGCCTCAAGCTGTCCCCCTGGGTAGAGTGCCAAGGCATTACAGCTCACAGCAACCTCCTACTCCTGGGCTCAAGCGAGTCTCTTGCCTCCGCCTCCCAAGTAGCTGGGACCACAGGCGCCCGCCACAACGCCCGGCTATTTTTTGGTTGCAGCCGTCATTGTTGTTTGGCGGGTCCGGGCTGGGGATTCGAACCCGCCACCTTAGGTGTACGTGGCTGGTGCCTTAGCCGGTTGAGCAATAGGCGCCGAGCCAGGCCTATGAATTTTAATAGATATATGTATTCTTGTTGCCACCAGCACAATCAGGATATAGAGTAGTTCCATCACTTCACAAAAATTCCTTCATGCTACACTTCCTAGTCACATTCTTCCCTATCTCTAACCCCTGGCAACTACCAGTCTGTTCTGTTTTTTTTCCAAATACCATAGAAAATGGAATTATACAATATGTAAGCTTTTGGGGCTGCCTCCTTTCAGTCAGCATAATGCTTTGAGGTTCTTCTGAGTTGTCATGTGTACTTGGAGTTCATTCTTTTTTATTGCTGGGTAGTGTTTCATCATCAGCTGTGTCCTCCTTACTTTGTTGTTTTTAACCTCAAGTTCAAGATTCTTCCTCCCACACCAGCTGCCTCTTGTACACAGTATCACTTATGATTAGGAATATTTCCAGGGGAACTTGCATAGTGGAAAGAACTTTGGTTTTGAAGGGAGGTCAGTGGAGTTTGAATTCTAGTTCCAGTGGGATTTAGGGAAAATTGCTTAATGTTGTCTGAGCCTCAGTTTCATTTTCTATAAAATAGGGACAATGTCATCTACTTTATGGATCTGTGGTGGGGGTAAAATGAAATAGTGCACAAAGAGGCAGTTTACTTTCAGTCCAATAGGCAGTGAGTGAAAAGCAGTTTTCTGTCATTTACTAAATACAAGAGCCTATGTTCCTTGACTCTATTCATTGGCTTCCCAGAGACTGACCGAGGACACAGTAGCAGGTGCTGGGTGTACGTGGCTTCCACTAAGAAAGCCCCCACTTGTGGTGATGGCCTTGTCTCCTCTTCTCTGTTTAGAAAGGGGCCACAATGAAAGGCTTGCAGATGACTGGGCCTCTTCCCACACACACTCTTGAGTCAGCTGGCCCTCCGGTTGGGAAGAAGGGAACCTCAGCTCTGTCTGCCCTGCTGGAGATGGAGGCCACTCAGAAGTAAGTACCTGCTGGGAGGGTGACTTGTCCCCACCTCACAGACCATCAGGCTTTTTAGTGCACCATTCCTGTGATTAGGGTGAAATAGGATTTCCTTCTGTGAGGATCCTGTAATTAAGTAGATGACATTTACATGGAAAGAAAGCTAGACTAATACCTGGTAAGTGTCAAATAACATGAAATAGATCAGAAATTATAAACTCAAATTAATCTGGATCTTAATTTGAACTGTAGTCCTATTTAGCCTACAATGTGTGTTTAACATATTTGGTTATTTTTTTTGAAAGACTTTTATTTATTTATTTTTTGTTGTTGTTGCAGTTTGGCTGGGGCCTGGTTCAAACCCGCCACCCTCAGTATATGGGGCTGGCACCCTCCTCGCTGAGCCACAGGCACTGCCTGTTTAACATATTTGGGCTAGATTTTTTTTTTTTCTAAGAGACAGACTCTCACTTTGTCACCCTTGGTAGAGTGCCATGATGTCACAACTCAGAGCAACCTCACAGCAATGCTCTTGGGCTTAAGCAATTCTCTTGCCTCCTGAGTAGCTGGGCCTGTAGGCGCCCACCACAATGCCTGGCTATTTTTGTTTGTTGAAGTTTGGCTGGGGCTGGGTTTGAACCTGCCACCCTCAGTATATGGTACTGGCACCCTACTCACTAAGCCAGAGGCGCCGCCCAGGGCTAGATTTTTTTAATAGGAAGATTTCATGTAGAAACCTAGATTTTTATATGTGTTTTTTTTTTCGAGACAGTGCCTTACTTTGCCACCCTCATGGTATCATAACTCACAGCAACCTCAAACTCGTTGGACTCAAGCAGTTCTATTGCCTCAGCCTCCCAAGTAATTGGGGCTACAGTGCCCCCCCAGCTATTTTTAGAGATGGGGTCTTGATCTTGCAGGTTGGTCTAGAACCCGTGAGTTCAGGCAATCCATCCATCTCTGCCTCTCAGAGTGCTAGGATTACAGGTGTGAGCCACTGCTACTGGCTAATATTCACATAACTTTTATTACAGAATATGATTTTAATTGTTCTATTTTGTTATTAGTTGTTAATCTTTTATTGCACTTAATTTATAAATTAACGTTTATTATAGATATGTCTTCATATTCTTTGTGATTTTAGGGATCTGCTGGGGGTCTTAGAACATAGCCCCTATGGAAAAGAGGGGACTACTATAATGCAAAATTATATCAGATAATGTTAAAACCCAGCTTTGTTTGAAGTAGCAGAGGCTCTTTTAATACTGGGTCCACAGTTGCACCCAGCCATGATGGGCTGGCATTTCAGAAGGGGTGCAGGGCTCTGCTTCATCCTCTGGTTCTCAGTCATGCTGCCTGGTCAGCTGCCCTAGACATTTGGGCATGTGGCCCCCCTTTCTGAACGGTAAGTGCTATATTTGACAGGCCTCCAGTGGGACCACACTTGCTTAGAAAGGTGGGGGAAGTGTCCCTGGAGGGGGGTTTTAAGTTGGCTTTGCGGGAAGTAAAGCATTTATACAGGGGAGAGGTGGGACTTGGGGAAAAGAGAAAACATTGCTATGCACAGGTGGGACCTGCCTTGGGGGCATCCTTCTCTGCCCCTCTTGTCCTCCCAGCTAGGGCAAGTTTCCCTCTGTGCTTGCCAGCATTCCAGAGCCTGTGTCCATCAGGGAGCCTACCAATATTCTACTGAGGGCTGAGGTCATTACTTTGCTTCTATCTGACTTGACTGTGTGCTCTGAGGGCAAAGGCTACGTGTTGTTCCTGGCACATAGTACGTGTAAGATGGATATTTATTAAACAATAGAGAACAGGATGCTGTTCCTGTACCTCCCCGTACAGGTTTGGGAGAGAGTATGTTAGGGGAGATGAGACCTTGTCTGTGTGGCATGAGGGTCTATGTCATACCTTCAGGAACCTGCACACATTGGGCTTTCAGGAAGTAATGTTGAGTGAGTGAGTAGAAGGTACCACGGGAGATACAATAGGAAAGGCAGTGTGGGAAGTCAGATGCCAGGCTGTCCTTACACATTCTCTTTTTCGAAGAATTCCTAGGAAATTTATTTTATTTTATTGGAAAATTTCAAACAGATAAAATGTATACAGATCAGGTATAATAAATTTCTCTTTACCCATCACCCAGCTTCAGTGATTATCAACTCATGGCTGATCTTGCTGATCTTGCTTCAGTTCTAGCCCACTTGTGTTCACCTTTTGTTTTCTGTTGAGACAGAGTCTTATTCTGTCACCATGGGTAGAGTGCCATGGTGTCATAGCTTACAGCAACCTCAAACTCTTGGACTCAAGTGATCCTCCTGCCTAAGCCTCCCGAGTAACTGGGACTACAGGCACTGGCCACAATGCCCAGCTAGTTTTTCTGTTTTTAGTAGAGATAAGGTCTTGGTCTTGCTCAGGGTGGTCCCAAACTCCTGAGCTCAAACAATCCACCCACCTTGGCCTCCCAGAGTGCTAGGATTGCAGGTGTGAGCCACTGTGCCTGACCCCTTTTATTTATTTATTTATTGCAGTTTTTGGCTGGGGCTGGGTTTGAACCTGCCACCTCCAGCATATCACCTCCCTTCATGTGTAATATTTCAGACTATAACTCTGAAAGATAAGTACTCTTTAAAAAACCCTGTGATACTGTAATTTACCTTAAGAATTGTGACAATTCCTTAATCATGAAATTCTGATCAATGTCTTTTGTAGAGGTGGGTTTTTCAGAGATAAGCCTCCTACGTGGGAAACCTTGGTGGGCAGTGTCAGGAGGCAGGGTCCTGTTGGGAGGCTCCCACTTGTCCAAGCAAGAGGCAGCCAATGCTGGACGCAGGCTGATGGTGAAATGGAAAGGAAGGAATGAGCAATCTACAGGGTTGAGGGGCAAATGGGAGAAGGAAAGTTAGGGTAGTTTGGGCTCATTGTTGGGAACACTGGGTCTTCTTTTGAATATATTTTTATCAAACCAAGGAAAGACCCCAAAACTCTGTGTGACAGGTTTTCCCTGTAACTAATCATAGACCTTTCCCACTGGAAAAAGAGAACAAGGAACATATGTTGCTGGGAGGGGTGTAAAGCTGGGGGTGAAGGGATCTTATTTTAATTTGTCTGTAAGTCATTGTTTAGTACTCACCAAGGAGCCTCTTTCTGCTCAGACTGGAAAAATGAGGATATCTTGTGGTAGTAGTCCCCCTTGTGTAAAGGGTATGACTCTTCTAATCCTTTGGCAGGAGCAGGACAAAGAGATCCGAGACTCATTCTTTGCCTCAGTTGACTGTTCCCGGGAGACATGCTGTGTTTTCTTTTTCTTTTTTTTGAGGAATAGTCTTACTGTGTCATCCTTGGTAAAGTGCTGTGGTGTCATAGCTCACAGCAGCCCCAAACTCTTAGGCTCAGGGCTCAAGCAATCCTTTTGCCTCAGCCTCCTAAGTAGCTGGGGACTACAGGTGCCTGCCATAGCACCCAACTATTTTTAGAGACAGGGTCTTGCTCTTGCTCAGGCTGGTCTCAAACTCATGAGCTCAGGTGATCTACCTGCTCTGGCCTCCCAAAGTGCTAGGATTATAGGCATGAGCCACCACACCCAGCTGACATTTTGTATTTTCTAAAGCCTGAATGTAGAGTGAAGGAGACAGACCTTTGTGTAATATTTGCTCCCACAGTATAGATTTTGTTATTGTTGTTTTTGGTTTTTTTTTTTTTTTTTTTTTTGAGACAGAGCCTCAAGCTGTCCCCCTGGGCAGAGTGCCGTGGCATTACAGCTCACAGCAACCTCCAACTCCTGGGCTCAAGCGAGTCTCCTGCCTCCGCCTCCCAAGTAGCTGGGATCACAGACGCCCGCCACAACGCCCGGCTTTTTTTTGGTTGCAGCCATCATTGTTGTTTGGCGGGTCCGGGCTGGGGATTCGAACCCGCCACCTTAGGTGTACGTGGCTGGCGCCTTAGCCGGTTGAGCTATAGGCACCGAGCCGTTTTTGGTTTTTTGAGACAGAGTCTCACTCTGTTGCCCATGCCAGAGTGCTGTGGTATCAGCCTAACTCACAGCAACCTCAAACTCAATCCTCCTATCTCAGCCTCTGAGTAGCTGGGACTATAGGCGCTTGCCACAATGCCTGGCTAGTTTTTCTAATTTTAGTAGAAATGGAGTCTCATTCTTGCTTAGGCTGGTCTAGAACTCCTGAGCTCAAGTGATCCTTCCACCTTGGCCTCCCTCTGCACCTGGCCTATGCAGTTTTTTATTTGTGTTTTTTTCTTTTCCTTTTGCTGCATGAAGCAGGTTTGATTTTATTTATTATGAAAGTAATGGAATAGCAATATGAAAGGGTTTTAACATTTTACCTATCGGCCTCCCTTTTCACCATAACTGTGTTTATTTCTTCCAGGTCCCTTCCAAGCTTTATCTGTATATATATACATTTAGTCAGGCTCCTATGGAAGACAGGAGCCTCTGTAGTCTCAGCTATGTCCTGATAATCACTGGTGGGAATTGTCTAAGCAGCTAGTGCTGGCCAGGGAGGTGCTCTGCTTCTATCAGATGAAGATGGTCTCATGAAAACTGAGTAGGGCAGAGAGAGACAGATATCTCCCATGCAGATGGATGTTCATGTTTTGTCCAGGGTGGCTCTGCTGTGTGCTTGTGGGTCATAGTTCTGTGATGGAAGCTTGCCAACAGCATGACCCAGCACCCTGTCCACCTGCAGAGGCTCATGAAGAGCATTTACATGTTTTTATTCTTCCTGCCTCTGGGTAGGCTATGTCTTCCTTCTGTCTACCTTGTGAGGCCTGCCTAGTTTGTGTATGCCATTAAGCTCTGTGGAGGCCTGGCTGGTGACCCTCTCCTGGAAGAAGGCAGTGTACCCTCATGTATGTTCTCACGTCTGCATTGTAACTGGTTGTTTTGTGGTAGTCTCCTCTTCTCAAGACATTAGAGAAGGAGCCTCCAAGGGCAAGGACAGGGTCTTCCTCACCTCTAAATTCCTGTTTCTTCATCCATGCTACACACAGATGGTAACTTAGTACATGTAGATTGTCATGCTCTTCAGGTGACCTCTGAGGAGGTTCTGGGAGTATCAGAGCCTTCCTGCCATCACAGCCTTCAGGAAGTACAAAAGAATGATACTGTGTGCATTTGTGGATGAGGCTCAGAGGAAGACATTCTGTGATATGATAGAAAGAGACACAGTGTGTGTGGTGGGAGAGAATCAAGCATCTATTCTGCTTTCCTCTATGAATTATACCTCACACTAACCAAGTGATTGGTGTGGGGGAAGTTTCTCTTTTGAAAATATCCCATCTAATAAATGGAGAAGGAATGACAGACTATCACTCCATGTAGTCTCTGATGAATGAATGAATCTAGTGGAGACCGTCAGTGGCAGCTAGCATCTCCAGAAAGAGGCCTGCAGGCAGAAGCACACAGCACCACATAGGAAGAACACTGGCCCAAAATTGAACCCAGTCTGCTCAGGTCTCTTGATATAACTTCTAGTTCTCAGTAAGTTCAGGGCATAGAGGAACATGTTAAGCTATAAAAGGATGTAATCAGAACCTCCGGACTGTGTAAATTTACAGGATGAATGAGCTGCTTTCTTTCTTTCTTTTTTTTTTTTCCCTTGTTGTTTGACCAGGGCTGGGTTCAAACCCACCACCCTCAGTGTATGGGACCGGCACCCTACCCACTGAGCCACAGGCACCGCCCTGAGCTGCTTTCTTTAACAAGTAAATTGCAAGGATAAGGAGTGATGAAAAGGAGCTTATACTTTAAAGAATCTTGAGAAACAACTTATTGCAGTGTAGGGACCTTAATTGAGTCTTATTTTCAACAAACTGTAAAAAAATGTTTTTGAGACAATTGGGAAAGTGTCATTTGATACTAGAAAAATTTTTTTAAAATTTTGTAAGTTATTTTCTTTTAGAGGTACTGATATGTTTGTGGATGAAATAATATTGTGTGAGTTCTGCTCCAAATAGTTGACGTGGGTAGTTAGGGATATACATGACACAAGATTGACTCTGAGTACACAATTTTGGTGTGGTTCATTATTATCGTGTAGGGGTTCATTATATTATCCTCTTTAGTTTTGAATATGTTTGAATTTTTTTATAATAAAAAATTTCAAAAGGGGAAGAGTGTAGCAGGTTACTATGGAAACAGATTTTTTAAACCCAGTATGTGATTATTTCAAAATTGGTAACAAAAATGTCAGGATTTAAGATGAGAGAAATGTTGCAGGTTGGGTTCTCAGGGAAGCTGACAGAGGTGGCGTTTAGCAAGTAGGATGTTTATCAAGGAGTGTCTTGGGCACAGTACCAGTGGGAGGGAGAGGACCAAGCACAGTGAGCACAGGGAGAAGCTGAGCTGCAACCCAGGCCCAGTGACAGTGACCGGCTACCCCACAGAAGCTCTGGAGCTACAACAGCTTTCAGAGATGAGCCCCATTGGATAAGGAAGCCAGACCTTTACCGGCCCACCCCTACCCCTGCACATACCCATTGATCATTCACTGGCTGTGACAGTCTAGGAGAGGGGTATGAGGTGAGGCTTCTCTGTAGCTGGGCCTCTTCCCAAAGGGTCTGACAACCAGACCTTCAGGACAGCATTTTCAGCTGCTGAGGCAACGAGGCCACGGTAGAGGGATCTGGGTGACACCTCACACTGTCCTTCACAAGAAGTAAATATTACAGTAATAATGAAGCATTTACGACTATACTGTGAGCCTTCTAAGACTTGGCAAACAAGAATATAATAATAGAACAATGCGATGTAAGCTAAATTAGTTCACAGTACAGAAAAAAAGTTAGGAAAATAAATGTGAAAGTGTGTGTTTATGTACCTCAGAATGGAGATGGGATGAGATATAAGAAAAACCTATTTGTCTCATGTTGTGAGATAACATCTGCTTATTTTTTATAACATATACATTTAAAAGATTAACATATAAATCCCTTCTAAATATATAGTTAACGCAGTTCCCCCTGTTTAGTTTATGTCACAAATAAATGTAGCCCTAATTTTCAGAATGTGTTTTTGCTGGTATATTTAATAAAAATTGAGGAACAGTCTTCCCAGAGAACTAAAAAAAAAGATTTTCATAGACAGAGTCAGTCAAACCATGTCAGTTGCCTTTTTTAATTAATATAAAAGAACCAGGTGCTACCAGAATGTTTTTCTTAAATTGGGCTGTTTTATGATTTACCATGGAAGAGCAGTGGTTGTCCAGCACAATAAATGAAAGATATCATGCGGGGCCTGGAGTAGAAACTAGGCGGAAGTGTTTGTTTCAAAGACGGTAACAACAGAGCTTCATCTCAGCTAAGGTGGATCCTTCAACAGAGAGCTCTGTGCAAGCTACCATCCTGTATTTTCCTCCTTCTAGGTGCCTGGGAGAACAGCAGGCAGCTGCACACGGTGGGAAGAGCTCCACTCAGTCAGCGGAGAGCAGCAGTGTTGCCATGACTCCCACCCATGTGGACAGCCCACGGAAGGTAAAGGAGGCTGCCCTAGCGGGGAGCTGCTGTGACCTCAGAGACCCAGTGTGGAGGGTAAAACGGTTAGCCCTATCAAATCCAGGACTGAACATGCTGGGGCTTTGGTGAATTCTACCTCAACCCCTTTTATGGTTCTGTTATTGTTACTATTTGCATCCAGGAGCTTTCCTGCTCACATTATATAGCTAAATGCAGATTTAAAAAATAGTCGAACTAAACTATATTGGTCAATGCCCAAGATCTGGCTTGAACTTTGAAAATGTTGTCTTGTTTTCCTTCAACCTCATCTTCAGCCTTGGCAGTGGGGAGCAGGAAGCTACTGAAGCAGCTTCTGCAATAGCTGCTCTTCTTTGATAATGAAATTCCCATCAGTTCTCTGCTGAGAAATATAGTCCACTGGGAGCATCCTGGGAGGGAAAAGACAAAAATCCTGAAACTTTAGACCTCTATCAGGAATTGCAAGTACAGTAGAAAGGCCAAAAACACCAGAGGTCAAACTTTTTCTGTTTTTTAAGACCAGTAGACTTGGCTTTGTCATCTTCCTTTGGGAAATTCAGACTTTGAGATCATTCTGTTGTGGTGAAGTAAGTTGACTGTACATTTTCTTTTCTTTTCTTTTTTTTTGAGACAGTCTCAAGCTGTCACCCTGGGTAGAGTGCTGTGGCGTCACAGCTCACAGCAACCTCAAACTCTTGGGCTCAAACGATTCTCTTGCCTCAGCCTCCCAAGTAGCTGGGACCACAGGTACCCACCCCAACACCCAGCTATTTTTTTTTTGTTGCAGTTGTCATTGTTGTTTAGCTGGCCCAGGCTGGGTTCAAACCCGCCAGCCTCGGTGTATATGGCCAATGCCCTACTCACTGAGTTAAGGACATTTTTTTTTAAAATATGTTTTCTACCACTAGGAGATGAAAGAGATTCGATGGATAGATGTTATTTTTTTAAATTGTGCTCAAATTGTAGATTCATCCGTATATTTATTTACTTCCATATCATGAGAATTTCTCATCAGTAAATACTTATGAAAAGTGTTACTATAAACAATAGCTATATCATATTTGTATAACATATAGTATTCCATCATTCATTCTGTTAAAAATATAGATCATTTCTGATTTTTAAATAATTTTTGATAGTCTATAAATTTTTATGATTCTGCTGTGTATCATAATTATAATGTTGCAGTGAGCAAACTATAATGATTATTTGACCACATCTCTGATATTTTCTTAGCATAAATTACTAGAATTATACTGCTAGGGTAGAGCAAATAAAATCTGAAAAAAAGTATTAACTGAGGTTGCAGGCAGCTTGTAGATTTTATAGAGCAGAGGTCAGCAAACCTAACTACATACAAGAGGCACAATAAGGCTATTATTTAAGTACAATATTTCCATAACATTTAAAACTATAAAAATGATTCTTAGCTTACAGACTGCAGTAGAACCTCCAGAGTTGATGCCCTCTCTGCATTGACCACTTGTTTAAGTTGACTTAATTTTCATAGACTGGACACACACCACATGTATGTATTAGTACAGTAGGCCTAGTTCCTCATGTTGACCACTCTGTCTGTTAACCAGTTTGTTACAGTCCCTTAGGTAGTCAGCTAACAAGTTCTACTGTATTTAACAGCTGAATGGCTGGCCAGATTTGGCCTGCAAACTGTAGTTTGCTGACCCCTGCTCTTTGGAGTGGCTTTAGGGCCCAAGGATAGTTTGTACATAAAGAAGGATCTGTTGGTCTTTAGTCCTTTTACCTGTCCTCCCTCATGTGTCCATAAATCTCAGCATCATCAGTTTCTCTGCTTCTATAAGGGACACGAATGGAACAATGAGATACTTAAGTACCCTGAGTGCTCTCCACTAGCTGTTACCTCTATTCATTGTCATCCTTGAGGATTAGAAACAGTACCAAGGTCAATACTGAAAAGCAGGGAAATTATATTAATAGAGATATAAACATTGAGGTTAAAATGCACCAAGACCAATTATTAAAGAGAGAGTGCTATTTAGAACACTCTCCTGATCCAGTTGAACTCTAACATCCACATGTACTAGCCGTCAGTAGGGCTGGATGTAGACTCCTAAGTAGCCAAGGGGAGATGAAGGTGCTATACATAGGAGATGGCTGAACCCTGCTGACTTGCTCAGAAATGCCCCAGGGTGTCTCCAGGTGGCATCTTGTGTTAGGGTGCTTGGCACCTACCTGCATCTGCACCTCCACACCTCTGTTCTCACTGTCTGTTATTTGAGTTTGCATCAATCATGAGAAGTAGTGGCAGTATTGATAAAATGAACACCCAGATATATCAGTTATTCTACTTTCTGAATTAAGGAAAGTTGTAGGAAAGCAGGGACCTTGCAGTTTATCAAGTGCCACTTCTGAATTTCTGTGCTAATTAAGCATAAAAAGTAATAGAGATGGTAAAAGAGATTCTGAAGGCACAGAGGGTACTGCTTAAGAAAGATGGAAGGAAAAAAAAAGAAAGAAGGAGTGGTCTTTGGAAAAGTCCTCTGTGTTATTTTTGTTTCAAATATATGGCCACCAGAAGCCCACGAGGGTAGGCTGGGGAGGGGAAGACAGCCATAGGAAGCCTCACAGTGAGTCCTTGTGTATCTGATAGCACGTGTCTTAGCTTCTTCATGATTTTGTTATACAACCAGTGGAGGAGAAGGTATGGCTGCTTCTGTGTCCCCCATTTGCTCACAAAATTAAGCAAGAACTTATCCTGCATTGAATCCTCTTCTCCTATCTGGCTGTTATATTTTAGTAACAGGCAGAAAAACCTCATGCCTCGGTGTATCTCTTCTGAGAGGGCTGCTAGTCACCCAGCCAGGCAGCGGGAGGCCAGGATGTCACCACTGAAGCCTTTACCCTGCAAGCCCTAGCCAGCGGCTCTGCCACTTTTTCCTGTTCCTTGGCAACTCTGCTGCCTTTTCCTCTTCCTTGGCATAGGTCTGAAAGAATTTCAGAGCTATGTGGGAGGGCGAGAACATCCAAGCCACACTCTGATGAGACCTCAGGGCGCTTGGACACACCTTCTAACCCAGGTGCTTTTACCCACATAGATGGGACATTCTGCCCTGGAAGGTGTGCGTTTCTGCTAATGCTTTGCATTTGGATATTTTCCTTCTGGGTGGCTCTCTGTCTTTCTTTTTCTTTTTATTTTTTCTGTTCCCCTCATGTGTCCTTGTTTCTCTCCTTCTATCCTTGTCTTTATGTTTATTTTTAATTTTTCATACTCCTCTCCTCCCCCTGATGGTTAACTGCTGGCACACATTCCGTTTCTTCGCTTCCTTGTACCTGCTGCTGCTCCTCCTCCTCTGACTTCAGGACAGGGCCTTCTTTATGGAGTTTGTCCGCAGCCCACGCACAGCATCGTCCACCTTCTACCCTCAGGTTAGTCCAACTCCAGGCCTCTGCATGCCTGTTACTCCAGCAGAAGCTACAAGCTGGATTTCTATGTGGCTCTAGGCTGAAACTGAGTTGAGGGGCAGTTGAAATTGAATCTCATCCCAGAAGTGTACATTCCCTTCCTTGGCGTTTGTGGCAGTGAAGAAAGATAGAAGGGATTAATGTGAGAGATCAAACAGTGCACCAGTGTTGACTCAAGCGTTTCTCATCACTGCCTGTCTGTTTCACATATTTGCCACTGATTCTCTGCCACACCACAGCACTTTCCTTTCAGGCTTTATAAGCAACGTGAAATATGCTTACTCAAGAATGAAGCACTTATTTTTTTCCTCCCAGTACAACCAGATACATTTATAACAGTGGTGGAAGGAAGTGATGAAAAGCAGCACAAATATTTGTTAATAGGCATGCGCCATATCAGAGACTAATTGTTTAGCTCTCCTACCTCTGGGCTTCACTTAACTTATTTGTCAAATAAGGATAGTCTGTGCATAAAGAAGGATCTGTTGGTCTAGAGGCCTTTCCCCTGTCCCCACTCCCTTGGACCAGATCTCCAAGGGCCTTCCAAGCCTTGAAATTCTTCCCTTACTCTGTGCCAAGCACAGGTATCAGAAGAACCTATGAGTTAAGTAAAAGTTTTATCTCAATTTTTACAAATGGAGAAATTGAGGGACAAAGAAGTTGTGTTTTATACATCATGGGGTAGAGCTGGGATCTAAATCCAGAACCTTGACTCCCAACCCACTCTTGTAATTAGCATTAGTAATTACTGTTTTGACAAGGCCCAATTGAAGAGAAAGAGGGCTCACTGCCCTTTATGGAGGAGGGCCCTGAGGATATGAAATTGACTTAGTCACAGAAGAGTTGAGAGAGTTTCTGCAGAGTGGGGCAGGCTAAGGATCATGAGACGTGGGAGTTTTGAGGGCATATGCTGCAGAGTCCTTTCATTAATGGAAATCAGAAAACCAGTATTTATGGAGTACCCACTCTGCCAGCTACTGTACACGCATAATCTTCCCAACAACCTGGGAGGTGCAGGTATTATCACCTCATTTTTCAGATGAGGAAATTGAGACTTAAAGATATTAGGTAGTCCGGGGGTTATATAGGTAGTTGAGTGGCTGATCCTGTACCATCCTGCCCACTGTGCTGGGAGGGTAAGGAGTTAGTTAACATTGAAACTTTCCCTTTCTTAGGAAGCCAAAGGTTGCTTTACCTGTCTGTACAGGTCTCCAAATGTCTGCACCTGCCTTTTCCCAGGGAGCTGTGTGGCCCTGGGCAAATTCCCATCAGAACCTCTGAGTCCTAAGCATCTCTAATCTCAGTATGGATGAGGTCTTGCTCTTGCTCAGGCTGGAAAAATAAATTTTTACCTCAACTTTTATTGGGGTGATAAGAAAGTTCTCTGTACATACACAAAATTAAATTGTACTTTTTCTTTTTTTTATTTATTGTAGTAAAAACACATAACATAAAATTTGCTTTGTTTTTTAGCAGGCAACATGGAAAGAAGTGAAAACAACAAAACCAGGAAAAAAATAAAGCTAACATGCAACATAGAATCAAGGAAAGGGGCCAGT